ATATCAGAATTCAATGAACCCAAAGATGCACAAATAGGATGGAATTTCGAGTTACTCGAAAAAAAAGAAAGTTAAAAAATCTCAATTATTACACAGTTTGATTTGATATTTCAGTTAACATTAAAGTATACTTTTTGTGAAATCTCTACAATTTGCAACGATCTCACAAATGTTAAAATCATTAGCCTATGAAATAGTATGAACACACCAAAGAGGGCAAACATGATATTTTGTCATATTAGAACACCATTTTTCTATTTAATTAGGTGGGTTTTTGTCCATCTCTTTTGTACTATAATATAATCTGTATTATAGTAAATAGAAATTTGTACTATATTAAAGGTATTTTTACTACGTAATACTATTCAAGATTTTGTGGCATTTAAAAAATGGAAAATAATTAAAAAAAAATTACTTGTATATCCAAATATTTTTTCCAATATTACCATCATTGATAGGAAATACCGCTATGACCTTATAAAAAAATACTAAAGTTAACTATAGTTAACTATTAGTTGTTATCACTTTAGTAAATCAAAGTGTCAAAGTTATCACTATAATAGTAAATCAAAGTTTTCATGTTGCCAAAGTTATCACTATAGTTAACTATAGTAAACTATAGTATTTTTTGTTAGGGGAGAAACATAAATGTACTATATCCCTCAAAAAGTTCTGTAGTAAATCAGTCATGTAAAAGTTTGATTCAAGTTATCGCTGTACAGTATCAAAGTATTTAAGATTGTTCTGAGGCAAACTACAAATCTTTACGCATCAGCCAATATTTTAACCTTTTGTTTTTCTCGTCAATATAACTTATCCTACAAGAAAAAGGGAAGGTCGCTTAAGCTCTTCCGAAACCAACAAAAGGTCCTAGTTAGAATGCCATGTTTAAATGTAAGCTATTGTAATTCACTTAAAGCACTTTAAACAACACAATATGGGTACGTACATGTACGGAAAGGAAAAAAAAATACATGTTGTTTCATAACTTTGATTATTATACAATGTAAGAATAATTTGGTATAAAGAAATTATAACGAAAAATCTACATTCTTTAAAATTCATAGATGTCATTTAATAAAAAAGAATTTCTTACCCATCGAAGAAGGAATTCAAAACGAAAGTAGGTTGTTTGTAAAAAAAAAATGGATGATGGCAATCAATCGAATCGGGATCGAATTTGCGAAGGTAAAAAACAACTAGCTATAACAACAAAATCTAGATAGGTTTATTTCTGTTGAGCATTTAATTCACCTGTTCAGAAAAAAAATCATATATATCGGGATGAAGGATGTCCAGATCTGCAATACTGAGCAGTACTCTGTTTTCGTAAAGTTTAAATATGTTATCACAATCCCTTGTAAGTTTAATTTTAATCTTTCTCTTTTGCAGTTTTGAAAATGTTTAGATCTGATGAATTGGATGCCCAGAGTAAGCGTGAAAAATAAAAATGCTTTTTCCGCGCTCATGTCTTTGTATAGGTCGACAGGGGATGCTTACTCCTCTAGGCAGCTGATCCAACCTCTGGTGTTTCAATGGTCTGTGTTTTTGCTCTATTCACGATTCGTATTCTTCACCGGGTTTATGATTGATCACTGCGTGATTGATTGATTGTATGTTGTTTTACGTCCCGTTCGAGAATTTTTTACTCATATAGAGACGTCACCATGCACCGGTGAAGGACTTCAAATTTAGACCTTTACTCGGCACTCAAAGCCATTGAGCAGTGAGGGTTCTTTATCGTGCGAATGCCTTCCGTGACACGAAGCCTTGGTTTTTAAGGTCTCATCCGAAGGACCCGCAATTTCTATTTCAAAGTGCCGAGCGCTTGGCGAAGGAAGAGTTGCTACCTATTTTTTATCGACTTGAGTCAGTCGCGGCCGTGATTCGAACACACGGCCTTCCGATCGATCACTGCGTGATCTACATCTTTTACTTAATATGTTAATAAGTGAACCCAATCTTGACTTTAAAACGATACTGTCTGGACCGTCTAGACAACTTCTCGACTAAGAAGATTAAAATGCTGTCTGCTCGAAAGAGAACGTTGTACATAAAATCACTCAGAGTTGGTCCATTATCATTCAATTTATCAATATGCATGGTTAACCATGCAGTTGTATATGTTCTTGGTATTTACACATATGACAAGTTACTCTCATTTCTGATGAAAACAGACTTCCCCCGCTTGCTAGTCAATATCGCATATTCCGTTTCCAAAACCTATATAACAGTGTTAGGACTCTCATACATGTAAATACGGGTACATGTACATATTTTAGAGTAATACACATATGATAGCCCACAGAAATAAACTTCCATCTATTCAATGTAAATGACGATCTTTTGCATGCATGATTTGAAGAAATTAAAGCGTCCATTTTTTGAATATTTATTCCAAACGAATTGAATTCGAAAATCAGAAAATATATTTCTTTATAAATAGATCTTGTCATGTCCTCTATTCAGAGTTGGTTGGCTTCTTTGATTTGAATTCCTGATTAATATTTAATTATTTGTAATATTTCATAAATCGACAATAAACTGTTTTCTTGTAATTTCAACATTTTGTAGAGTATTTTACGTTAATGAAAGAAAAAATGTGAAAAGAAAGGAAAAAAAAAAACTCTTGCAGATGCTAGATGTGCAGAAAAAAGGTAATGTGATACAGTGTAATTATAATCTGGAAATGGTTTTCCTCTGAAATAATTTTTTTTTATCTTTTTGCAGAAATAATTAAATCAGAACAGTGTAATTTGTTGTTTTTTTTTTTGTTTAATTCTATCAACATATATCAATATAATAGTACAAAGGATAATAAAATGCTGGTATACGTGGATACTTTTTGGATACATAATTGTCAGGTTAGTTAAGAGGGGTGATCAAAAAGTTAGCAAACTAATTGAATTACTTCCTTAAAAGAAATAAAATAACGATTCAGTACTCATTATTTTTTAAAGTAGTCCTTTCCGGTTTTAATCCACATCTGCCATTGTTCTGCCCATGTGAGAATCACGTGATCCAGGCGGTCACGTGACATGCTCCGTAGAGGTCTGTTCAGAGAGGCTAAAAGATTTTTCCGATTCTTTTATTTCTTACCATGCAAGCTATATTTTATAACAAGAACAGTCCATCTGTCAGAAATAGCCAATTCACGGCATTAGGATGGGTGGATAAGGACATCCCTTCCCAGAATTAGCATGGTGATCATCAAAACCCGAGTCCTCTGGCTCGGGATCGTAGTTTATCCAATGTGGATAAAGTATGGGCGACCTCTTTTTATCATATCTCATATGTTTAAACTTTAAAGTAAACGATATTTTAGGGATTTAATAATTATATTATTGTTAAGGTATTCAACTACTTTTCAAATTGTAACTGGGCGATCTTTCATAAAAAATTGCTCAACTAAGGGCACATCTTTTCCCCGTCTTGCTTTCGCTGGGCAACAGAACAAACATCATTTTTAATCATCTCCCTGCCTTCACTATAACAATCAATCCAATTAATGATTGAACTTCTGTTAACGAGGTTCGCTCCTGAGCTTTTGAGCAGATTCTTATCTTAACCTATATTTCAAAAATTCTGCATAATGTTTTAATTCTTACAATAAATTTGGATTCTACAATGCCAATTTTACTATATTCAGTTAAAACTCCATGATTAAATTCCATACCAAAAGCATTAAGTGAGGAACTATATTTTGTGGCGGAAGGTTTTTTTAGAAGAAAATGATCATTTTTTCTCTTTTGAAGTATTTAAAGTATGTTAAGTTTGGATTCCTATTTTTACATGCAGGCTGCACACATAGTTATTTTGTGCAGTGGACTGTTTTATACTGGTACTAAATTATCTATTAAATAAACTGTCATGAATTCTATCATCATATTTGATAAATATAGCAAATATATTGTGGAAATGAAGAAAAAAATAGCCCTAATTTAAGCTTAAAATTAGCACTATTTTAGTAATATCTAAAAATTAACATCACAGACCCCCACTTTTAATTTTCTTTTCTGAATATATACGATACTTTTAACCATTCTTCTTAAATTCAGTAAAAAGTCATTACTTTCAAATGATTTTTTTGCTTGTTAAATTTTAATGCCAGAAAAATGAGAATGTTTGAGTGCAAAAAGGTCAAATAATTGAACATGCGGAGTAATTCGAAAATTTCTTCGTTGTTACAAATTTTAATGTGTCTATTTAAGATGAAATAAGACTGTGTTTGTTCACCATAATTTATTTGAACAAAAAATATTGAAGGAAAAACTTTAAAAATTGATTTATGTGTAAGACGTATTTACAGTGCAAAAAGGTCAAACTAAATGCTCTGTAGCGCCAAAAGAAGCGCATTGACCCCCATTTTTTGTTTTGATTTTTAATAAAGCTATGTGTATAAATTCTAAAAATATACTTGATAAAAAATTCTCATTACTTTTGATGGCAGGATCCAACCTCCTTAAGTCTTTTGTCTTCATAAACCTTGTACAAATTATCATATTCTACTGCAAAGGAATTTCCAAGATATACGTTAAATTTTACAGCCGTTTGTTGCTCGAGTACGACTGAGTCAACCATTTTTTGTCACAAGTCACCTACAAACTTACGTCATTTTCACATTGTGATGTCACAAACACGGAGCAAAACATTATATAACACCTGCTTTTTATAGAATATGTGTATGGCTATATGTGAGCCAAATTTCATTCTGATGAATTGTGATTTTGTAAGTATAGAGATAGTTCCCGAACTTTTTGATCACCCCTCGTACACAAGGATTGTCATGTCAAATGTGGAAGAATTCATTCACTTGTACTTTTTATATTTGCTACCAAATCAATCTCTGACTGTACGTTAGTATATGTTTTCCTGACACCTTCATATAAACATATTACGGTTTCACATAATTCAAAGATAATTAGTATTATTTCTTGACAAAAATTCAATGTGATAAAATAAGAGACATATAAGATAAAAATTTCAGAACAAGGGGAAAATCTTTGATTAATACGTTTCTTAGTAAAACAAATATCAATCGTATGTATCATTGTATTAAGGTATTGAAAAATAAATGAACAAAACTTTTTTCAATGATCAAAAACCTTGGATTTTCTTTTTTCCATTTTCAAGAAGATTTCGTTCTTTGGTCTAAGAAGCGCTCCTGCATCAAGTTGCACTGGAATCTGGAATTGTAATTATGATATACAGTATTCAACAAACTGCTCGTAAGAGTTTGCGTTTAGCTCAGTTTCAAAGAAACTATTCAAGATATTTTCTATCAAACTTCATTTGATGATACATATTAAAGAGAGCAATTCAACTGCATCAACATTTCTGACCTTGACTTTTCCTTTGACCTTGATTTCACTTTAGTGTTAAGCTAAGTTTCAAAGAAATTATTCAAGATATTTTAATCAAACCTTGTATCCTAATACATACTGATGAGAAATATTCAACTTCATCAACGTTTTTGACCTTGACCCTTCCTTTGACATTGACTTCACTTTTCTTAAATTTTATTTAGCTATGTTTCAAAGAATTTATTCAAGATATTTTATTCAAACTTTATATGCTGATATATATGAATGAGAGGTATTCAACTGCATCAACATTTTTGACCTTGACATTTCCTTTGACCTTGACCTTAGCTTCTTAAATTAGTGATTATCTCATTTTCAAAGAAATTTAAGATGTTTTTATCAAATCTTATATGCTTATACATATTGGTGGCAGTAGTTCTACTGCATCAACATTTTTTACCTTGACCGTTCCTTTGACCTTGACCTCATTTTTCTCAAATCTGTGTTTACCTCAGTTTCAAAGAAACTATTCAAGATATTTTTTTGTAATATGCACTGGTGAGAATTAACCGTGTCCTATTCTTTTTTACCTCGACTCTCCCATTGACTTTACTATTTATTGTATAAAACTCAGTTTTAATGAAACTATTCAAGATATTTCATCACATTTTACACACTATAATACAATTTTTCATGTTGCATTACTAATGAACCCTCGGTAGGGCATTCATCTCCTATGGACGTTTTTTAGTTTATATACATACATATCCTAAAATAAAGTAAGTTGGAGCTAAATTGATAAATGGAAAATACATTTTTAAAGTAATATTATTCAAATGCTTACATGTACCAAAGAGACAATAAATGGGGGAAAACACCTAGCTGAATGATGTTTCTTCAAAGTGTTTGTCCAGCATCTAGACTGATAAATATCCTGATGTTTTTTTGAAATATTAGCTCATACAAACATTTTTAGATAAGATTTCATCCCCAACATTCACCTTGCATGTTCGGAAAAAATATTAAAATGAAAAGTTTCAAACTTCCTTTTAAAGAGATCTTCGCATAATTTGATCAGTTTTTGTTCCACTGTTCTTGAGAAAAACGTGTTAAAAATTTATTCATTACAAGCTCTTTTGATAAAAAGAATTACCCGAGGCCATAAATACAATTAACAGCAATCCGTACTACAAGTATGCTTACATGATTCAATTCAGTTTATGTTGCTGATCGTGAGGAGACCTTGCTATACGTCTACCTATTACTAGGAGCCCAGACCTAGCACTGGGGCTAAAATTGCACAATGTTTTATCTGCACTGAATGAAGATACTAATTTTAAAACAATCTACTTAATTGTTTACTCGATTATGTGTATTAATTCAATTCAAAGAAAAATAATTCATCCATGCATTTCATAGAAAAACCCTATTCCTGTTAATTGTTATCCCACCTCTGATTCTGTAAATAGCCAAATATAACTGTATACATTTTGTTCAAGGTTGTCCGTCATCATGAATAATTAATTGTGATAAGTATTTTATGGCAATGGAGTAAAAAGGGGAAAAACATTATCAATGAAGGTGCAAAAACAAACAAACAGCAAATAAATAAATAATGAAAAACCCTTATGTATACATAAAGTAAGGAAATACAAATCAAGAATGAAAAATGTACCTCTGTTTTGTCACATGTTACAAACATGTATTTCTGAAAAATAGTCACCAAGGCACACTTAGCTTCCATCAAGGCTAGTCGCATGGCGACACAATTTCTTGGCCCTAGTCCAAAAGGCAGAAATGCATTTGGCGTCAGGTTCGACTTGTTGTTTGCCAAAAACCTTTACCAAAATCAAGTGACATATTGAAATGAAATAAATCTGAGCGTATAACAAATATTATAATTAATTCTCCCCCGTGAGTATGAAAAGAAAAATTATTTTAGAAATAAAAAAAATACTACAACAATAATCCCCCCCCCCCCAAAAAAAAATAAAGAAATAATAAAAATTATAAAAATATAATCAATTTTTGAAAACAACGTGAAAAAATTGTCGCTACTAAGAGAAAAACCTCTGTATGGAATAAAATGATTCCTTTGCTATACCTGTCAGGGTTATATTTCTCGGGTTCTTCCCAGTACTTTGGACTTCTTTGTAGAGCAAATATGGAGACGGACACTTCCGTGTTTTGGGGTATTCTGTAGCCTGATATTTCCATTTCCTGATGAGTTTCTCGAAATGCTCTATAAATAATAATAAAAATGGACAAACTATTAAATCAGAACTCCCACATCTTAATTTTAAAATCAATTAAAAAAATATTGGAAGATTTTATAGTTAGCATTTATTATTGAGGTTATATGTTATATATCATATCTCATGAGAGAGAGAGAGAGAGAGAGAGAGAGAGAGAGAGAGAAACCTTTGAGCTGGGGGATATAATCGCATTGCCTCCTTAATAACACAGTCTAGATACTCCAGCTTCTGAATGTTGTCGTAATCAGGTGTATCCTTTGCATTTAGAATATAAAACTTACTATAAATGTACAAAAACATGAAAATAAATATATATTTTTGAATTGCTTATGGTTATTGTCGGTGCGAAGTGACAAGACATGGAAAACTATCCTACTTTAACCAAACTGATGCTATTATATTTTGTATTAAAATCCCAGATGTCGAGTATTTAAACTGATGCAAGTCCATTTTAAAACACATGCAACTTTCTTCAAAAAAAGCGAAAATTTATAAAATGTAGATGTCATTTGTAGATTGTACCTGTCCAATAGAAGTGTCTATTTCAGAAATCAATTTGTCTTGATATTCCGGATTTGTTGCTAAGCAATACACAGTAAAAGTCAAAACTGTAGAAGTGGTTTCATATCCAGCTAAGATAAACATGATGGAGTTTCCGTTTACTTCCTCAGTTGTAAGTCCTGTCAATGAAAGACGAATATTTCTCTGCATGTTTTAAATTTCTAATTTGCCTTAAATTAAGGTCTTATTTATACACGGAAAATGGTGTACACAGACATACAAAAGTATATATATGAAATAAACTTCAAACATAGTTTTAGAGTGATATCACGATCCTCTTCTCTTAACCAATATAATTTTTGCTTTTCTAGTGCAATATACATTTTGACTTTTTAAATCTGTTTAAATTCTCTAAATACCTTTCTTTTTCCACTGTTCCTTGTTGATTTTATACTCTAAAAGCTGTTCAGTTTCACTGAGATCTGTTTCTTTATGCGCATCCAATAAACACTGAAGAAGGTCATTTCTTTTCTGAAATCAGAATTTAAGGGAATTATTTACATGCATGTGAATTCAAATATAAATTTGTTGCGTTTGTCTTAAAAAAAATAGCAAATATTTACTCAAGGTATCTGTGGTTAGTGTTTTTTTCCCCAATATATCATCCCCATTTGTAAAGCATTCCAAAAACCCTTACCGATCTACGTTTGATAAAAAATGAATGAAAGTTAATCGTCGATTGCTTAAAGGCTGTCAATTTTTCAATGTAAATGGTGAAGATAACGAACAGTTATCAATCTCCTTAATTATATAAAGAACAGGGGAACATCCGGACCCTTTGAAAACACCAGAGGTGGGATGAGGAACATAGGAGAAGTAAACATCCCCTGTCGACCGCTCTCACCCACCGTTAACCTTATTTTTAAATATATCTTCCTGTCATCTTATTTCAATATTTTGATTGCGAGAACTATATGTAAACGTTAAAAATAAAAAAAAAAATAAAGAATGTAAGTTACTAACCAAATAAGAAAAATCAAACTTTCTCTCTAGATAAGGGATTATTTTTCCAGATTGTATTGTGTACCTTGTTGTCCTCCCTAAGTTTCTTTGCTTGTTCCACCAAATGTTTAAAGTATAAACAGTATTTGTTTTGTCTATCTATGTCCAATTCTAACTTGCAAAGAAGACTGTAGAGTGGCGGCATAAATGCTGCAAAATGTAGCAAATCAAAGTTTTTGAATAAACCTTACATATAATAATGAATATATTAATTAAGTCATAATTTTCAGTAATTATGAAGATATATTCTGACCATTAATAAGTACTCCAAAGCCTAAGAAAGCGCCGAAAATTCCCTTTGCCTTCTTTATGAATTCATTTTCTTCTGTTGTATACAAATCTAACTCTATTCCAAATCCTATGGCGGCAACTGCGTCCATGGTAAAGTCTCCAAACATTCTAAAACAGAAGAATTTTGATATTTTAAATAAAACTTAAATAGAAAATTAATAAAATGAAATTTATTATTGTGTAGACCAGGAAAAAAGCAATAAATTATATTTTTCTTATAAGCAAAGCATGGCAAAGCTTTAGTTTCTTAATAAGTTTATATAATTATTACTAGGATTATTATTTAATCCTATGCTCGCATGAGTAGGCAAGACATAATTGGGAAATACAAATACAAGTTTCCAGTTGAACTTTGAAAGAAGCTTTGATTTCACAATGTTACTTTCCATCTTTCCTTTCACTTTTAATTTTGACAAACAATACTATTAGATCATCAGATATTTTGACACATAATCATTTCAGCGGAGGGATACACTTCTAAATATGCAGCAAAGAATATTTTGTCTGTCATCAAAACTATAAAGAGTAGTGCACGCATAAACGTTCAGCAAGCCACATGCCTGTTAAAGATTAACGTAAGCAAGAAAATGTTTAACGTTTTAAGATTTGAGTTTCTAAATGGAATGCCTTTAAACCAAAGAAACAAGTTTGCTTTATATTCAATTATAATTACATGTCGAAATGTTAGGTCAGTTTGTATTTTAATTACTTCCTTCTATTAGATATGATTGAGTTTAAATAAAGAGAGTTGGTATTGGTATTTGTATATAATTAAAAGCATACAATAAAACACTTTTATGAAAGTTTAAAAAAAAAAGGTTGACCGTACCTCTTAATGTCTATAGAATGTCCATTTTTCGTTTTATCCTCTATGTTTCTGATTAATCGAGAACAGCACTGTTCAAGTATTGGAGACATCTTTCAAACCCAAAAATGATTTAAAGATAAGAAAATGAATTGCACCAAAATATTTTTTGTAATCCCTTAAACATTTTAACCAGTAATTGGATATAGTAATCTTTATTATTTCTTCGCCAAATTAATATTTTATAAATAAACATTTCTTCCACTCAAAATTAAATAAAAGGAAAAGAAAAGAAAAAAGAAATAAAGGAAATTTTATTCGTCGAGAAAATGTTTAAATGTGCCAGTTTACAAAATTAAATTTCATGTTTATGAACAACTTTCTGAAACGATTAAAAAACGCCTACTGGTTATCTAAATTATATAATTAAATTATAGATGCAGATTCCGTTCAAATTTAAAAAGGTTCATATTAATAAGATATCAAGGAGATTTCTGACGACCGAAGGCTTGTGATGAAATGTGTCTATATAAAAAATTCTCAATTTCTTAATCTCAATTAATTCCTCATAATTTAAGATTTATAAACATAACTCATGTAGGTAATGTATGTAGGTAATAATAATAAATTTTATATATATATATATATATATATATATATATATATATATATATATATATATATATATATATATATATATATATATATATATATATATATATATATATATATATATATATATATATATATATGAATTTAAAGATCAACATATACCGTTCGCAATTTTCCTGCAGAAAATATAGGGGAAATTAAATTCCTCATGAATCGCCAATGATCGCCTTTGAGTTTGATGAGACCATATTGAAGATCGTTGTGTCTTTTAAATGGATCCTTTAGGTAGAAAAAAAGAATTAAAATGTTTGCTACATTTTAAAAAAAACTTAACATAAACAGGATGCTCTTTTTGCTTGGGATTTTCGTTCATTTGTTTTCTGTGTATATATAATGGCGTTTAATTGTAAGAAAATACAAATATCCATTAATGCTTATTAAAATCTTCATCATTTATTAATGAAAGATGGATCATATAGACATTACGCGTGATGTTGGTTGCATTTTACAATTTTAGTACTAGACCTATTAAACCCATCGTGATTTCAAAACAATACTTGCAATACGGGTGATTTTGGTATATGAAGGGAAAGGTTTTGAATAGAACTACCCGATTCCAGTCAGAAAAATAACATTTAAATAGATTTTATGCAAAATATAGAATTTTACAGCGCAAATTAAAGATATTTTAAACGTGTAACGCTTTACATTTCTAAAATGGGATCGCATATTTTCCTTTGGTAGAGTGTTCAAAAATGAACCTACAGTTCTCATTTTTCTCACAAAACAAGAGCAATCCATATCGTTTGTAACATCGTTAGCGATTTTACATTCAATGGTGACAAGAAAAAGAAAATGATATATATATATATACAGAAAAAGAATCTGTAACGCAAATAATTAAGAACATGGATATGAATATTAACATTGAATTTACTCAATTACAAGAAAATTTAAATTGAAACAAATTATATCAAAATAATGTGCTTTTCTTATAAAATTGAAATATTTCAATAAGGTTGATATCAAACTACATGCTTTGTAGCGAATAAACAGATTACAAGTTCAACGAAAATGTCCATAGTCTAAAATGACGTGCAAAAATAAGATGAAGGGAATAAATTCTAATTTTTTATTAATCGATTACAGAATCAATTATATGTTCAACATGTGCTAATCCAAACGGTCAGAATGAATGTCCGATTGATAAATTTACTCAATTAATTAATATTTTACGCAACATTTAGTAGGTTTAACATATTTGTCCAGCGTTTAGAAAGGTTTGAGTAATTAAAATACTTTATCGTACACAAATCGAAAGCTTCCTTTTTGTTCATCTGCTTAATTAAAAGTAGTCCATGACTCTTTACTCATATTTCAAGTACAAAGAGATAGTAATATGGCACCTGTCATGCTTGTAGCATTATTTGAAGTCTTACGTCAATAGTTCCGTAGCGCTATGAAAGCGTAACGTTAAACGTCATCAACATAAACGTCATTTTAAACATTTACGTCAGTGTAAAGTCATATGACGTGCATACAATAAATGTTTTGTTTTCATTGATTGAGACAAAATTTTAAATGTTGATGACATAATTTATTTTCTTTGACATAATGAGAACTGTACTCACTGCAGTGTTCGGAATGCTTGAGAATCTCTTGATCAAGACGTCACATGCTAACTCCGGGTCTAGTATCAAGAGAGAGGGTCTATGAAAAAGGTAAGTCCTATGATACAAAGAAAATGTCTCATGAGTTTCAACTGTCTAAAAGAAAACAGTTTTGCTAATATTCAATACTTTATAGATTTTCATGATGTACATGATGGAGCAGAAAATCATTTTAATCAACGTATTGCTTGCAATTCTTTATATATAGTGGAATCGCCTCACTAGCTTAAATATTTAAATGCTACGAATAAAAAAAATATATTTCATTTTTCGTGGTTCGTGAATTTTTAAGAGGTTGTTAATAGAAGTTGGTGTTGAATAGATTAACTCTTCGCCGTACTTAAGAAAATCGTATTATCTTCTCTGGTATATTTTATTTCTTAAATAAAATGTGCAAAGTACACATGTTGGAATTTTCAAGAACTAAAATGTCAGAAAGGAGATTATCCTTCCAATAGTTATAATTACAGCGAGTCTATAATTTGGAATATTAATGAACCTCTTATATCTTATTAACTGAAATAAATTATTGATAGAAATATTCTTAGATGTGTATCAGAATCATCTACTAAATCAAATAAAAAAGGGGGATTTCTTCGGTTCAATTGCATCGTGTTGCTAAAGTTATATACAGTGTAACTGAAAAAATACTACATAAACTTTCGTTCCAAAAGTTTTATTAACTTTTTATGAGAAAAGATCTAAATTTCAATTTATTGAACGATTAAGTGTATCGTGGTAAGACGAAATTAAAGTTTATAATGAAATTTGTGATATAGTGGCTAGCTGCCATTCTAAAACACTTTTATAAGGTGTCAATTTATACCCGAAATTAATAAAAGAATTAAATATAATTACTTACCCTGATATCTTGTCGTATTTTGAATGCATATTTAGGTCAAACGCACCAAGTCCCTGATTTTATAATGAGAGATGAAAATTAAAAACATTTTCACACGAATAATACAAAATATGTTTCATTTAAATATCTTTGCTTATGTCTAAACTTTTACAGTATTTTTATCTAAAATACTTAATGTAACAGACTTGCATTTTTCATTAAAGGAACATGGCCGAGGAAAAGTGTAGGTTCTGGATGGGGAACACCAAGCCTTCTCCAAAAGCTCAGCTTATATTTTGAGTACCTGTGAAAAAGATTTTTCAAAAAATTCTATTACCAGTTGAACATTTCTGATTCACTTGCAACTTTAATAGATACATACTATATTCAATATTTACCAAACTTGCATGATTTTGCGGTGTTTCTTGATCAAAACCATACTTGGCATTTTCACCGTAGTCTGAGTTCACGCTTCATTTAAAACTCCAAAGAACGTTTAGAAATTTCAAAATCATATTTTTTTTTCTTCAAAAGTTAGTAAACTTAGGACTATTCTACACTTAATTCAACCATTCCTCGCAGTAAATTTTAAAACTAGGCTTTTTGATATCATAGACAACTGCTTCTTCAATAAAAATGGAAAGCGGAAATTTTCATATCGTTTGATTGGTCATCAATAAAATTACTTTGTTATACATCACTCTGATTCTACACACAAGTACCCTGAAGTTTATATTAAAAGGATGCTTGAGTTCCTCATTTTACAATATCTATGAAGTGATTGGAGACCAGTTCTTCCAACAATCTGTTGGAATTACCTTAGGCACAGATTGTGCTCCTTTATTAGTCGATCTATTTTTATATTTATTTAAAAAAAACTTCTACATGAGAAGAAGAAAACACTGGCTGTGGCTTTCAACTCGATTTTTTTATTCAAATATATCGACGATGTTTTAACTTTTGACAATAGTTACTTCCATTCATGTCAGCTCGATATAATCCCAATAACTCGAAATAAAAGACACCACGGAGTCTGTCCAAACTCTAGTATTTGGATGGAATATGTGGAGATAACGAAGAGTATTCGGGCTCAAAAGTCCATTAAACATTACATAATAGGAGAATTTTATGTTTTACTAACTATAGACGGGCCAACTAACAACTAAACTGTATGACAAACGAGATGACTCCAGCTTTTCCATCGTCAACTTTACTTGTTTATGTTGTAATGTTCCGCTATCACCTGCATATGGTGTTTATGTCTCCAGACTTATTCGATCACACCAAAAAGCATGCTCTGAGTACGATCAATTTTAAACCGATGCAGGTTACTGACAAAATTTGATGTTACAGAGAATTCAACGACTTTGTTCAAAGTCAGCATTTCGTAAAACTTATGGTCATTATAATGACCTTGTTAGAAATCACCTATCATTGGGTCGTATTTTGTCTGACTTATTTCATACCAATTGTAAGACCTTTTTATACTAAAGAGCTAGGTTCACTTTATGCTTAAAATGGCCCTGTAGATATCACACTTTATTGACTAACACTCTCTGTTCCATTTCAAACATCAAGATAAAGTAGATACTGTGTGATTTCATTTGCTATTAAAAAGTTTCCCCTGAAAGTACAGGTTTTGAAAAACAGGATTTGTTAAATTATAGTGTTCTTGAATTTTAAAGAAAAACATATTTATTTGAGTACTGTCAGCGAAGAAAATAATATGAGCACATTCCTCGGTCCAAAACGTAAAACGTGTTTTATACTCTCCAGAAACAGTACTATCATTAAAAAATTGCATATATTTCTATACGAAATATTGAAAGATAGAAAGATTGATGATTTTTGTAGAGTTTTACAAGATATGGGAAAAATGACGCAGTTTATGACGTCATAATGCAGTAACAAGTCAGAAAATTACGTCAGTTTTTATAGATACGCAGTCACCAATAGGTCTTAATGATATTTAATGCATTGTGAACTAAAACTAAGCAGTTTCACTTTTTCATAAATTTACACGGCCAACATGGCCGTACATGAACATTGTTCTTTGACTTCGGAATAAGCCGTCTACCAGAGCAATACATTGGGCTCAAGACTGGTGTGACAAGTCGACAGGGGATGCTTACTCCTTTTAGGCACATGGTCCCACCTCTTGAATTTTCAGGGGTTCATGTTTTATCCCTGTTCACAGATTTTTAGCGTTTGTAGTTTTATTAAAAATCGCTGTTCCTTATCTTCACCTTTTTCATCACCTATAATTTTCGGTACATGTTTAAATAAATTTAAAAGTTTTGCCTTACTGAAAAATTGGTCAAATTAGTCTTAGCGATGATAAAATGGATTGCATGGCTCATCGATTGCAAATAAAACTCAATAATACGTAAAATATTTGTCAAATACATGTAACAGGTACTACTGAAAACTTCAGCATTGTGATAAAATATGAAATCGGTCATTGGTAACAATGTTTTTGTATATTTTTTCATTTAATCTCGGCATCAACATAAACATACAGTAAAATCAACAGTGTAACAGCGGCAAAAAAAAAAAAAATAAATAAATTAAAAAAAAAAAAAAAAAAAAAAAAAGAATGGATACGACAACGCTTGTAATGCACCACGAATTTAAACCTTGACACACATTTTGCAAATAGTTCATACTACGTTCTGTTGTGTAAAGCTACCGATAATTGTTTACATGTATTATTGCTTTTTTGTTAGTTTTTGCCGTGTTTCTGTCATGTATTCTTATGCAATAAAACTCAAATAATACTTACAAATAAAGCGACAAGAAAAACAAGAACAAAGTGAGACACCACCCAGGAACATTAACTAATCCAAGAATTTCCATCTTAATTGTGACGGTTGTAAATCTGAAATACTTCTAACAACTGACCCATGAAAATTACGGGTGGTTGCCTCCAATAATTCTTAAGATTTTGTTGTTATTAATCATAGAAATATAAGTATAATCAAAATGTCCGATCTATGATGCTAGAAATAGGAATAGAATTATTTTTTTAACTATCTCTTTGTCTCCTATTTTGTTTTTTTAATATAATACAAAAAGTATATTGCTTTGTAGAAACAAAACTCCTATGCATTTGATAAATGGGTCAGATTACGTCCTATGGTATAAAATAACCGAAAAAAATATCTTCATTGTTTGTCTTATTGCCCTAGTTTAAACTGAGTATCTAGCATGCACTTTTTAAAAACAATTTTACTGTTCACATTACGTTTAAGGTTTTCATTCATACATTTTAAAACATGAAAACAAGGTATTTTCTGTTTTCAATGCGTGTGAATTGACAAAAAACATATAGGTATTACGTCTTATTTGAGTTTTAATTTATTTAAATTGCAACTAACTTAGCGTTAATGGAGCAAAATTGATGAAGTCAATTCGCGTGTTTGCCAGCAAACCTTTGTTTTCAAAGTAACTTTCTTTCTTGAATCGGCGCACAACTGAAAGACGCTTTTAAATCTTTATTGTTAAACTGCTGAAAGTCGGCTCATTTTACTGTCACTTGTAAAAATGGAACTAATCTTTAATGTATTTTGTGGTTTTCTTTTTTAAAAAATAATCTGGCGTGAACTTTGCATGAAATGTAGGCCATTGTTTCAGTAAATCAACATAGGGCCGCCGACACTGAAGCATCTTTTCCATTTTCCCTGAACTATAAAAAAACCCATTAAAATTCATATGAAATAATTCAGAGCTCAAATTAGTCTTTCAATGGTGAGATCATATGTTAAAAGATAAACTTAAAACATCAATTGAATAAAGTTTTGGTGTGACATACCTTATCAAATTAATTTTACCAAACAATAGAGTTTGTAATATGGATGTTGCCAAGAACAGGCTCTTTAAGCCGTCACGTATGAGGGAAGACAATAATTTCGAAATAACCTTTCTGCTCCGTAATTTAAATTAGCTTGAATTTGCCAACAAAAGGAAAGATCCTGTAAATATTACATTCATTCTTAATCATAAATTAAAAGTTGAACTCTACACCCCGCAATTGACGACAGATCTTCACTTTTATTATGAATTCCGTCGAGGATTATGTCAGACGATGGAAGAATTGTGAAGAGGAAGACCTGGACACTTTGTAAGAATGAATAAATATTTTAGATGTATATTAAAGAATCGTGTTAGAAAGTCAAAAGGTGAAAGTGATTCCTCTATCCTTCCATTTTTAGTAAATTGGAAGTTTTTAAAAGAATTAGAAAGACTACCTGAATAATATGTTATGGTTCCAGCTGAAAAAGACTTGCAACAATATATTGTGTTTCTTTGTGGGGCTCATTATTACAACAACTGTATTTTAAAAAAAACTTGGCTTTAGATATACGTCTGCAAACCCAAGTAATACTCCCAGTTCACTGTGTAAGGATGTAATTCTTATTAGCAGACCTATTTTTGTATTCATATGAAACAAAATTTATTCAAAAACTTCTACATGTGAAGAAGAAAACACTTGCTGTGGCCAACAACTCGACATTTCGATATATCGATGACGTATTATCAATTAACAATATCTACTTTCATTCATATGTCGTGTCGATATATCCCAGTGAGCTTGAAATAAAAAATAACACAGATTCTGACATATTTGTTTCATATTTAGATATTTTATTAGAAAAGGACGTTAATGGTAACCTAACAACCAAACTTTCTGATAAACGTGATGACTTCAACTTTTCAATCGTCAAGCTTCCCTTACTTATTTAGCAATATACCCTTATCACCTGCATATGGGATTTATGTCTCTCAGTTGATTCGATGCGCAAGAGCATGCTCTACGCATAAACAATTTCCAAAACGAGGCAAGCTATTGGCAGACAAGTTGACTAAACATGGATATCAACAGTCTCGTTTGAAGTAATCTTTTCGCAAGTTTTCGATCGGTACAATGACCTTGTCAGCACATACAGCCTATCATTGAGTCAAATGCTGACTGACGTTTTTCATACTAATTGTTAGGCCATTATTTATACACTGAACTATCTACGGATTTTTCCGTTTTTTCCATGACAAGGAGCATACGGCGGGTGTG